TCAGCAGCGGGGAGGTGACTTTCTCTTCAGGTCCCACCAGCTGCTGCAGCACGTCGCTGTACAGGAGAAATAGGCCCCGACTCTTGCAGCGGCAGGGGAAGAGCCCCTGGCAGAGGTCAAGCGTTTCAGCAGAGACCTTGATCTCAGCCATTCGTTCCCAGGAGCTGGGAGCCGAGTGGTGACCTGGTCCCTGGCAGTGGCGGTGCATAAATAGGACTAGCGGTAGCCCAGCTCATGCTGCATGCCTCAGCTTGCACAGCCAGAAGCAAAGCCTGCTGTACTTCCACTGCGCAAAGCCTGGTGTTCCTAGCAGGGGCTCATGCAGCACTTCAAGGCTTTCTTGGGAATTATTTGGATACATGAGAAATGCTGTAGTAGGGAGTGAGCCGTGCACAAACTTCGCCAAGCTCAGCCTAGAAAGTTTCCTTCCCTGCCAAGCCAGCGTTTGGGTTGCACTTTCCTGGAGCAACGATGACCTCCAGTGGACGGCTGGGTGAATCCCCCAGGAGTTTCCTCTGAGCATCCCTGCTCTTGTCTCTCGCAGTTAAGGGCAACGCCATGAGCTGACGCGCTGCGCTTGGCTCCCCTCCAGCATCAACGAGCCCGCGCTCCTGGGTTAAGCCTGTTGGTCTGCGCCGAGGGCGTTGACTCCTCTTGTCTCCTCTTGGCTCTTGAATAACATCCAGCCAAAGTGTAAGGGCTGCTTAGAAGTGGAGACAGGGTTTGGAGCAGGACAGGTCTCAGGGGGCATGAGGGTAAGGGGCAGGTTCAAGTTCAGGGGTTGCAGAGGCAAAGCTCCCTCCCGGCCAGAGCAGAGCTGAGCCGAGCTCTGTTAAACTGGTGTTGTGCTGTGCACAGGGCTCAGCCTTCTGGTTTTGGCTGGTGGAGAAGGTCGGTTCAAGTTACACACCTAACCTGGTGGCGTTTGTTCCCGCCTCGCTCATTTCAGCTCCTTGATCTGAAGATATTTGTGGACACGGACTCGGACATCCGCTTGGTGCGTCGCCTGCGCAGGGACATCAGCGAGCGCGGCCGTGACATCGAGGGTGTCATCAAGCAATACAACAAGTTTGTCAAGCCCGCCTTCGACCAGTACATCCAGCCCACCATGCGGCTGGCCGACATCGTGGTCCCCCGAGGTATGTGCCCAGGGCTGCCCCGAGCTGCCGCGTGGCTCAGTCCTGCGTGGGACCTGGGAGACCCTGTCCCTCTGCCCTCAGCTCTGCTGGCCAGTCCCACTGCCCACCGGCGGGCGAGGACAGAAGAGTGGCTCTCCCATGCCAAAGCAAAGGTCCCTCCAGTTGAGGGTCTCCAAACGCTGTCGAAAGGAGATTCCTATGGGAAAATCTGCACTTTTCCCTCCACCAGCCTCCTGCCCTACCAGCTCCTGCAGTTTAGCGATTTAAAAGCTAGAGGTGACTTGTAGATATTAAATAATAGATTACTAAATAAGAATTCAATAAAAGCAGGAATATCTCCTGCTTTGCTAGGGAAGGGTTGTTTGGGGAAGCAAGGGTACGGTGTGTTTTTGAACGTAGTGGGGACCTTGGGGAAGAAACATGTTTCAGGCACTGCTAGCACTGTGTCCCGACCAGGCTGTCTCTCTTTTGCTTGCGGTTCAGGGAGCGGAAACACGGTGGCTATCGACCTGATCGTTCAGCACGTCCACAGCCAGCTGGAGGAGGTAAGAGCTGCCTGGGCCCCCGGGTGGTAACGGTGGAGTCAGCCTTGCCCGTGCAGCGGTGGCACCGCAGGAAGCGCTGCTCTGGGTGCCCAGGTGGGAATGGCCTGGCCTCCCTCCGTGCTCCAGGCATGTGAGCCGCGGGGCTGTCCCCATGAACTCCCCCAGCCCCGCTCCCTCCGTTTCAGCGAAGGGGACTGCCTCGTCCCTGGGCTCTGGTTAGTGCAGGGCTCCTCTGCACGCTGTGGTCCAGCAGCAGCTTCCTTCCCTCCCTGAGAGAGCAAGTCATCCGGGGACAAACCAACCCAATCCAGTGATCTGAGTGACGTGCCCTCACTGCCCGCAGCCCGCCCGGGGCCAGCATTGCCCCAAACCCTGCAATGCTTTGGTTCTCGGGCTCTGGCTTCTCCTCTTCACCCCCTCGCAGACACTGCTGCACAGTCTTTCCAGTCAAGAGCCCACTTTTCCACTTCTATGTCGGGTGCAGCCCATGGGTTTCCAATTCCAAAGTCTTGTCATGTTTGACGCCCAGCCTGAGCCCAAATCCAGGCAAAGGCTCCCATCTCCTTCCCCATCACTGGGTTTAACAAGTCTTCTTCTGTGTGTCCTGGGCCAGTCCTGACCAGCGGTTTGAGCCTGGGATCTTTCGATCAAATGACCCTGTTGTGTGTAGCTGTTCCCTGAGCAGCACCAGCTTCCTCCCACCCCACGTTTGTAGCTTTGATGTTTAAGTTGTGGGGGTGCTCAGAGCGATGTCCTGGGAGGCGGAAGGAGCGTGACCTGGAGATGGATGCACTTGCAAGTAAAGGGCTCGATTCCTGCAGGCCTTTCGGAGCTCCCCGATGGCAGGAGCCGCTCGGCCCCGGCTGTGAGCTGGCACACGGCAGCCCCGCGGCTCCCACGTGGCAGCACCGTGCCTCCCACGCCTGCTCAGGAGCGACGGCTCTGATGCAGAGACGTGATGGAAGGTTCCCCCTCCCAGAGCACCCCGCTCTCCACAGGGCTACAGGAGGCAGTCGGGGTCTTCTGACTGCCCGGATTTACAGCGCTGAGCTCTGGCAGGACGGGGCGTTGGTTTCTAAACCCTAGGTCACAGGAGCAAGGATCAGAGCCCCGGCATTGTCAGCGCCAGGCTGAGGAGGGCGCGCAGCCGCGGGGCACAGGCCAGGAGGGGGGAAATGGCTGTTTCTCCCAGCCCCTGGGATCTCTCGCGGCTGGAGACGGCAGCCAGCAAACGCGGCGGCTCGTCCCCAGAGCTCAGCTGCGAGCCAGGCGAGGGGTTGGCGTTGGGGGGGGGCTTTCATTTACCTGGGGAGGGGAAGAAGGGGAAAAGGCTACATGTGAATGCAGGAAAATATTCCTATTTTTCCTTTTCTTTTGTCTTGAAACGACCCTGGTGTTGACAATGCTTAATACCGGTTGCATTGTGTCTTTGTGTTGCTGCCGCAGCGTGAACTCAGTGTCAGGTAAGAGCCCCTAACTCTGTCCTGTCCGTGCAGCCCGAGGCATTTCCAATGCCAGGCACTGCTTGGCCATACCCTGACCTGCGGCCGAGACCAGCAGCTCGCGTAACGCGCGGCCTCGTCGCGCTCGAAGCTGGGAAAGGCCGCCTTGCCCTTGGCTTTGGGACCAGCAGGGAGAGGGCTGCTCCCCAGGGGTGCGTTCGTCCACCTTGAGTGCAGACCCCTGAAGCCAGGGCAGGGCCAGGTTTGTTAGCTGGGGACCCCCGATCTCTGCAAGAGGGGAGGCTTTGCGTCCTGGGGTTCTCCTTTATTTCCCTTCATCGTCTAAGACGAAAGGGTTGTTCGGAGCTACTCTTCATTCCTGACGATTAAACATCATTAAACATCAATTATTAGATTAACCAAAGCAGCTTGAGGGTGGTGGGAGCCCTGGATCCCTCGCCGCACGGAGAGGCGCTCGGCTGCAAGCCTGACGGCCGCCCGCCGGGGGGTGGAGCGTAGCAGCTCCGGCGTGGCGAGAGGTACCCGCTTTCCTGCAGCCTGTAAAGACCACACAGCAGCTACCTGGGGACTAAGAGAATCCTTATGTCCTAATCCAGCAGGATTCCTGATTTCTCAGTGTCTGCAGGTGGATGCTATAAAGTATACGTTGATTTGCTTAACCTCTTCAGCATGTGGATCCAGATGGGACTTTAGCTCTCTGGCTTCCATTACGCGGCCAGCTACGTTTCTAGGTATTTTTGTAGGAAGCAGAGGGGATACATTACTGCAGATGGGTTTCCATTTAGACCTCCATCATTGCCTGGAGACACTTAACTCAAGTAACCCTAAAATTTACATTTGGCCTACAAGAAGCTTTTAAAATACCTAAGATGAACAGGAAAAAGAGTCTGCTTTACTTATTTCTGCTTAAGCCGTTCATTTCCTACACTAGGCAACTGGGTGTTTTATTTTATTTCTGCTTGCTTTTTTAACACCGTGGGGCCTGGCATTTCCACAGACGTCGCCGTGCCAGGCGTAAGCTTCCCTGTGAGTCTGGAGTTCCGGGTGGGAAGGTGCTCTTTAGCATGGAGAGAAGTCTGCTGCTTTAAAAAATTGCAGGAAGAACGCTAGAGAGTAGGCTGATACATGTGTACAGAGGTATATATGCCCATATGTATGTGTGTATGTATGCACACATAAAATTGCCTTTCTCTCCAGCGGTTCTCCTCCTTAATCAAAGTGGCTCTCAGTACAGGTGATTTTTTAGTGCACCTTAGAAATCAAGTCTTTAATAAGATGTCAAGAAAGTATAATGATAGCAAGTTTGGAAAGGTAACTCTGACCTCCAGAAATAACTCCGTGATAACCACAGCCGCAGACATGTTTATGTTCTGTTTAAGGCTCGTGGTTTCCATTTATGCGTTTGCCAGAAAGTCTGGAAAAAATTTCCTGCAAAAAAATCTGTTTACACTCCTGGAGTCCCAGTGCTTTTGCTGCTGCTGCTGCGGTTTCCCATCAGCTCCCCTGCGAGGGGAGCGAGGTGGCTGGAGAGACGCGTGGGCAGGCGCGGTGTGCTCGGCAAACGGGGCTTTTCATCTAAAACAACTCCCCATCCTCCTGCCTTGAATGGCTTCATCTAAATGTCACGGTTGTTGTTCTGATGTCACCGCCTTTTGGCGCCCGTGGGGACGCGGCGAGGCCTTTGTAGCTGGTAGAATAAGACCTGGATGCTTAGATCTGGCCGCAGGCCGAGGTACCTCGCTGGCCCTTGTGCACCAGGCTGGCCCTGGGCTGCTCCCCTGCCCCAGAGGGTGGCCGGGACGGGCAGGGAGTGCCTCTCCCCGGCCCTCAGCTGGCCAAGCGGGAGGATTCTGAGGAGTTTAAAGAAAGTGGTGCCGTTCCCTGGGCCCGCAAGCCTGCCTTTCCTCCTCTGACTGCTGGCTGCTGAGGAGCATCGTTGCCTTCCTCCACATTGCCCTGGGCGCGGGTCAGACCTCGGCGTCCTTGCCGTCCTTGGTCCTTGCCGTCGGGGTGTTTCTTGTCCAGCTTCCCAGGTGTTTAACCCTGCGTGTGCCGGAGCTGCAGTTAGGTACGGGGCTCCCCGTCCATCCATGCCCAGGTGAGTATTCCTGCGCCAGCCCAGCAGCAGGAGCCGAGCTGCTCTCCGCTGAGCCTGTTTCCATCCCTTCTGCCGCGCTGTTTCAGCAGCCAGCCCGGCTCTCGGAGCCGGTGCTCTTTTCGGCTGAATTCCCCTCGCCAATCAATATTCCCCACCGCCGAGGTCTCGATCAGCTTGGCATGCCCTTTGCCAGTTGTGTCTTTAAATATCAACCCATGGCGCAGTTTAATAGCCCTTTTTTGAAATGTCAGCCGTGAAAGCCAGCCACTGTACGTGTTTGAAATGCCTTGACTGCATTAGCTCCTTTGTAGCTGGATGTCTCTTGTCTGCTTCCTGCTTGATAGCATGCTCAACAAAGAGCTGAGGATGTTCCCTGAAGCCTTCCTGAGAGATGGTCACCCCTTTCTTTTCTTTCTCTCTTCTTCTTCTTTCTTTTTTTTTTTTCCCTTTAAAGCTTTTGTTCTGGGGGGAAAAAATAAGTTTCCAAAGTGAGACATTTTCTTGACACGCTCAATACTGCCCGTCTCAATTTTCCGCCGCGGTCCTGCCTGGCAGGGGAGGGACAGGAAGCGTTGCTCTCGCAGGCAGGCTGCCTGCGGGTCGTGGTGCAGAGACCCGCTCCCTCCGTCCCTCCCGGCAGGGCTGGGCAAGGGGCTTCACCGCAGGCTGGAGCGGGGCGGCTGCCGGAGAGGCTGAGCTCTTCCCTCTGCCTCAGCCTGCAGCCCCTCTGCAAGGGATGGTGGTCCCAGGGCAGCTCCAGGTGAACTCCGGGGAAGGAAGGTCTTCCCGGCGGGCGGTGACGTTCAGTTCAGAGCCGCGTTTCTCCTGCTGCTCCCAGTGCTCCCAGCTCTCCGGGGTCTCCGAGGCTTGCGCAGATCCTCTCTCCAGCGTGCCAGGAGATGGGCACCCCTGCGGGGTGGGCGAAGTCTTTGCAAGCTTGGCCTCGAGTGCCTGTTCTTGCTCTGGGATTGCAGCAGAGCCCTGGGCGAGGGCTGGGCCTTTCTCCCCGGCCCCGAGAGCTGCAGCTGGTGTTGCAGCGTGGTACCACCCAGGGCAGAGATGGGACAGGGTCCCTGCCGTGGCTCTGGGGCAGCGAGAGCGGGTGGAGGGTTCCCCCAGGGGAGGTTTTTTTTGTTTCCCCGGGGGTAGCCGGGGGTGGAGCCGGTGCCGTGTAGAGCAGCCGTGACATGATGTGGTCACCGAGGGAGGAGCGCTGGGGTCTGTACGGCGATGGCCGGGGCACTGGGCAGGTCCAAGAGCCATAGATCAATGAGGGCTTTTTTTCCCCCTTTGACTGACGACTATGCTTTTTCCTTTGTTTCATGTCGTGTTTGTCCCTATTCCCTTAAACTCTCATGTCTCCTGTCATGTCTCCCCTGAACGTCCCTCCCACCTGGTGACCAGAGGAAGCTGCGCTGGGATATGTGAGGAGACAAACGCTAACGGCAGTGTTTTGGTGTGACACTAACGCCGGGGAGCAGGGGCAAGGGCTGTGCAGCGTGAGCCGCGTTACTAACCCGGGCCGGGGGTCTTTGGGCAGACAGCTCACAGGGTCACAGGGTCTGCTTTGCTGGGGCTGTGTGAAGCAAAGCGGGGTGGGGGGACTTGAGAGAACATCTTTATCCTGATCCCAAAAATGGGACCTACTGCTGTTCCCCCAGAAAGCACCGTGGGGACGCCCACAGCACTAAGCAGCTTCCCTGCTGCCAGGGACAGGGGCATCCAGACCTCCCCGTCCCCGCACGGAGCACCAGCCCCTGCGCGGGTGTCGCAGGAAGGTGCGGAAGGCACG